ATTGTCGGTGAAATGAACTTGTCTGTGAATTAATTGTCGGTGAACTAAGCTGTCTGTGAAGTGATTGTCGGTGAAATGATACGTATCCGTGTGGGGTCTACGAAATGATTTTCGATGAGTTGATGAGATCCCATCGCGGCCACAGTTACAGCTTAAACTTTTACCTTCGCAGTATTTAGAGAAGCATGAAGATATCATTATGAAGGCAGCAGAAATATATGAATTCACAAATATAAAAACTTTTACAAATATTTACGAAATGCAACTAAAGCGAATTACTGATGACATCCAAGTTGATCATGTTGTCAATGCATTAATTCCTGCAGTGCGTGATAAACATGTTAAAATTTTCAAGAAATATGAAAATAAGGAATGGGTGAAAATCAAATATTCTGAAGCATTCTCTTTATGGAAGGGTGTTATAGATGTAAAGACTGAACTAGAATTAATTAGTAGTAAAGTAGTTGTTTTGAATAATAGTGATATAAATAATTTAGAAGATTCTCTAAAACACCTTACCCCTATACCAAAGTGGAACGAACGACTTCAAAACTTATCGAGATTTTTAAAGTGCCACTTAAAACTGAGGATTGGTTAGGAAAATCTTTAAAAATTTTGAGAGAAGACGTATTGATTTTAGGAAAGGTTGTTGAGTTTGTGAAATATGTTTCACATTTTTTTGCAAACCGCAATTTTTTTTGAGATATTGTATCATCTTTTTGAATTATCAAGTACCACGCAGTATTGATATGCAAATTTATTGGCTGATTATACGTATGAGCTGGATGAGTCAGATAAAATAATAAATTATTCTATACCTATTTATATGATAGCAATATACTTACAGTATATTTGATTAAAGGGCAATAGTTAACCCGTTATAAGATTATGGGTCAATCGAGATGCGAATTCATAGCGATCTAAATAGTGCACAAGTATTATGACGTAATTTTAGCTATTGTCATAACATTTTGGATAAAAGTCAATAATACGAATGACAATATTGTTAGATATGCTCAAACATTGCTATTTCTATTATTTTTTTAATAATTGTAGTGATGCTCAATTGCAATGATAGGTCAAAATAAAGATCTCAATCACAAGTTAAGAGGATTCTAAATAGTTTATCGAAATTTACGAATCCATAATAAAAGTATGAAAACACTTGAACAATACTTTATTCATTTTAATATTTATAAAGTTTTGATAAGTCAGGGCAAAAAAAAGGTGGGTGGTTAGTGACAAAAAGTTTTTGACTGAAATGGTAAACTCTTCTCATTTTTTACTATTTAAAAATTTTTTTTTCACGTAATAAACTATCTTACACATCTTAATGACAAGCTCGATTGATCGATTAAAATTACTTTCCGTCAATTAAAATTTAATTACCGACAAAAATTCTACAGTAACTATATACTTCGTAATATTACATATTACTCTTACTGGCCAATAAAATTGCAGTATTTGCATATATTAGTGTGTTTTATTTTAGCCCCCCATATCTTATCAGCTACTGTTGTTATGTTAAACAGAAAATTAAATTGGTGTGGCCTAACTTGTGTTGCAACTGTTGTTGTTATAAGAATATTCAATACATTTTGCTACAGTAAATTTCTTGATAGCAAATCTGTTAATCAATGTCGTAAAACCTTTATTTTATTACACGAGAAGATTATAATTTCTGTTATATCTGTCATACAAGAAAAATGTTTAAGGTCTAAACAACTTTCCGAATTGGATAATATTCTTTCAAAAGTTATAAGTGTACAAGAAGCCTCAAAAGAATAATTAGTGTCATAATATATAATAAAATGTAAAAGGGCAAAATTGCCTTGTGAAAGTAGCTGTCATCCCAATAATCACGTTTGTAATAATCAGTGTAGCTAATATATGACTAGAATATATGCACAAATAGCTTTGTAATATTGTTGAATTCATTAAAATTGAATTTGCGCTAAGTGGATTTTTAAATTAATTCTTTAACAGTTAACGATTTGAGTGAATTTAAAATTCGGTTCAACTTAAGTTATGTTGACTTTAAATCTAGCAAGGTTCCATTCCGACGTACTGTACAATACGTACATTAAATTTTAAATTCTTATATGTTTTAAGTTTAATTGTGCTATATTTATTATGCAAAAAATAAAGTTGATACATTGCATTAAAAAAACGTGTTACGTGTACTGCAGCGTGTTAGGATCTATATGTAATGAGTGACCCACTCACAATCTTAATGCTGAATTTAGATATTGGTCAAAGTTATGTCTATTGGTCCCCCAATCATTTCACAACAATCATCACATTACAAAAATGAATCACTTTTTAATAGGTATTTACTGTACGAATGTTAAAATCTTTATTACAGTATATAATTATTTAAAATAAAATAAAAAAATGTGCTTTTTTAATTTATTCGGAAAGCTTTTCTCTATCTAAATCTTTTTTTTTTTTTTTTTTTTTTTTTTTTGTGTTTTGTAAATATTATGAATATTGTATTAAAAGTTTAAATAATTTCAAAAGCACGTATGTACGTTATTGGGATATTTTATTGCGGCTGTGACCCCGATGATTTAATTTTTTTATGATTAAATAAAAATGATTGCGATCGCTAAAGCCGGTCAATTTATCATAAATCTGAGCTTGACACAAACTCAGATTCATTTTTATTTAATCATAAAAAAATTAAATCATAGGGTCACACAATTTTGCAAACCAGTCTAGATCTTTTTAGTGATCATTAATGTAATGATTTATATCTGAAAACTGGTCTCTTTATGTAGTAAAATATTTTAATATTAGTTGGTTTGTTATGGGAACCCCATTTTTTCCAGGTCTTTTTTTACGTACAATCGCTACTTCATTAGCTTAGAATTTTTTTAAATAAATTGATTTTTTTCGATAGAAAGACTTTTGGCTTTGTGGATTTTATAATAATCAACTTCGAAATTTGCCAAAAATCTTCATATTAAATTTTACCATATATAGTTTTTCCAATACGTTATGTAATTTCTTGGCATAAATTTTTATAGATAACCCTAAGTCAATTTGCGTTTCCGTACGATCACTCGATCGTGATCTGCGCGACAAATCGTGTGACTGATATATACAGATATGAATTTTGGGCTTAACAAAATTCGATTGGTCAATTCATTTATCAGTTAGTGGTATATACTATGGCTACGTCATACAGTCATAATTTTGTGATTCAATGTGATCGAAGAATTTAAATTCGATAAAATTCGATAATAGATCTAGAATAGACCTTCCATGAGTGCAATCAATCTATGTAATTTATGTAACATTATATATAGATTCTACAAAGTACACATTTCCTCAACAATGTATACTTATGAAGTATAACGCGTTTTTATGGTTACGAAACTTTAACTTATTCTTGTATACAAAATTTAAACTGATTTATCTTGTAAATAAATGATTAATTAACCTTGTTATCTGTTTAAATGCATGTTCATGCAATGTTAGTCAGAAACAACCAATAAAAAACGAGTTGGAAATTCCCTAATCTATAGCTGATTAATACCGTTTTACATTATATATACGTACGTACGGTGCGGGAAACCTAAAAAAAAAACTTCAATCACTCTAAATAGAACAAAGGTTAACTAACTCATTGAAGAAAATCCTCAATCACTTTATATAGAACAAAGGTTAACTAAATTTATCATTCTTAATAGCGTGCGATTTGCAAATTTTACAGTATATGGCAAAGAGATTCCCTTCGCTTATTGGGATCGATAATTTAGGAAATTATTTTCGTGTCACTAGTTTACACATCATCTCTACATAGAATCTTGGGGTTTTTAAATTTCTTGCACCGTACTGAGTTTATTTGCTTCAAACTTCTATCAGATCCTGATTTCCTGGTATTAAAAATGATTGCGGTTTATTTATTGCTGGCGTGTCTCGCTTATTACTATTTCTTTAAAAAACAAGATGCCTCGCATGGCCTCAGAGAACTTCCTTCACCACCCGGTCGCGTATTTTATATTGGTTAGTACAAAGATAACTATTAGA